GGGGGGGGGGGGGGGGGGAGGGGTGTTGAGGGAAGTGATGAGTAGCGACACATTTCTCAAATAAGCACTTCCAGTCTTCACCCCATCAATTTTCATTTTTCGTGCGAATTCGCCGATTGTTGTTGGATAAGTTGGATTTATTAAAACGCAGCATAAGAGTCAACAGCCAAATGTTTCTGAAATGTAAATTATTTTCAAAAAATAACAGGTGAAGAGAACTCACTTGTGCTAAATAAATTTTCACCCGGCGTGTTTCGTCAGGACCTTGCCTCAACTTATCACAGTAGAACTGGGACTGGTGGTGCTTTCATCCGAAGCTTACATTTATAAGCGACGTATGAAGAGTAACGGTAAAAGGCATTTTACACGAGCGACATAAATACTTATTCAAATGTGATTATTAAAATATTCAAATGATGATTGTTTTCACATTTTCTTAAAAAAAACAATTGAATGCGTATGTGCGATACGTTTGAGGCACTCGCTCTGCTGAGCTGTATTTACACCTGAAGCTTTAAGCTTCATGTTTTGTCATGACAACTTTTTCGTTGCGCGAATCGTGTCCTTCGTAAAATTTGTGAAAGGAAACATGTGACAAAAAGCTGAAATTCTATGGTGGTCCATTTTCGTTCAAAACTTAAAATCAAAATTCAAAGAAAATTTTCAAACTAACAAGTTTATTATTGTAATTTTTTGGACAAAGGACAAATAATATCAAATTCAAACAAGAAAAAAACGTTTATGAGGTGAAAGCATGCTGCAAAAACATTTCCCTTGGAAGTACAGCTCTCATTGGCTTTCTGGTGAAATAATACCCCTAACGGCGGTTCTGTCTGAAATAACATGTCAATGTTTGCGCATTTACATCATAGGTCTCGTTTTTGTACAAATATGATTACTTTTGCTGTTTTAGCTGAATCAGGGATTTCAACTGAATCACTAAATACAAAAAGGGCACATGTCCAGAAAACCAAATTGTTCAGGAGACACAAAAAACTGTTTATTTCGTGGTAGATATTTTTTAAACATAACGACTTTCCAAAAAATATCTACCACGAAATAAACAGTTTTTTGTGTCTCCTGAACAATTTGGTTTTCTGATGTGCCCTTTTCGTATTTAGTGATTCAACTAAATTACTTATTGTTAGATCAGACGAATTTCGAGGGAAACTCGAACTTGAAAATTTTAAAGTTACTAGGCTCTCTCCACCACGACGGCAAAAAGTGGCGCTGGTCCTGGAAACTTCTCAAAGACCCAAACCCCTAACTATGTGATTGAGCGGTTTAGCCCTGAACGCTCTGCTCGGATAATGTCCTTGTTCCAATCGCCGTTGGTTGTCCTGTTGGTTGTAGCGGCACATGAAGGTGCAGCACATCCTGTCCGGGGCCATTCCCTCGCACACCCGACAATCCGCGTCCTTGGCGTCCTTGCAGTGTCGTTCTTGTTCAACCCCGGTGATATGTCTGAAGTGAGTCAAGGCTTCCTCGCAGTTTTGTTTCCCCAAGTGCCTGGCATGGGGGTGAGCACAGTCGTCTCGCTCGTCGCACGCCTTCAGATTCGTTCTGTGACCTTGCATGATACCTTCAACTTCTTCTGGGTCGATTATTTCCACGTACTCGTCCGTGCCTTGGTTTGCATCGCCGCTGCCTCCGCTTTCGCTACCCCCGCTTCCGCTACCACCAGTTCCGCTACCTCCGCTTCCGCTACCTCCGCTTCCGCTTCCCTCGGTTCCGCTACCCCCGGTTCCGCTGCCATCGGTTCCGCTACCGCTAGGAGTGCCGTTACCGCCATTGCTGCTGCTCCTACGGTTACTGCCGCTGCTACGGTTGCTG